AAGGATTAGAGCCCAGATTAGCTTGTAGGAAGATAATGGTTTGTGTTTTTTAGGAAGATAATTTGGTTTTCTTCCCCAGGCACCACCACCATGGGAGCAGCATTGCTGGAGGACTGGTAAAGGGGGCTTTGTCCGTTGCTGCTTCTGCATACAAGGCCTTGTTTGCTGGGCCACCAGTCACTGCCCAGGTCAGTGTATGTTTCATTTTCCTGTACCAAAGCCAAGTCACCGGTGAAAATGATGCTGCCTGTCTGGGTTGGAGAGTAGTATGGCATTCTGCCACTTTCTAGCTGTAGGACTTTAGCCAAGTTATTTAAGGGAAGAAAGGGAAAAAAGCCTAGTGTTTGTTGAGGACCTGTTACGTGTGGGGAGCTCTTGCAAGTACGTGCTACAAGGTGAAGAAGACACCAGTCCCTGCCCAAAGAGAGTGGGACGCAAGTGAGGTGAACAGTACAGTATAAGATCCTGCACCAGTGTTCTCGGGTGGAAACCTCAGCCTGCTGTGGGCCCCTGCGCGGGGCCAGAGAAGGCTTCCTGGTAGGTGATGCCTGAACTGAGTCCTTAAGGACAAAATAAGTATGTGCCAGGAAAGAGAAACAGCATTGTGACAGAGACTAGCCAGTAAAAAGTTGGAAATGTGAGCCTGAAAGGTGAATTTGGGCTGGGAAGAGAAAGAAGAGAAAAGCCCAATTTATGTAGGTGGGGTGCTGTATTAAGTGGTTTGGGTGTTACTGGTTATAAGGGTAATTGGGGGGTTGAGGGGGAGGAGAGTGAATGGGTTTTAGGAAAATGATTAACATCAGATTTCTACCTAGTAAGATAATTCCACTATAGTGTGGAGGTTGGGGGAGCCCTAAAGAAATCATTTGAGAATCCATGTGTAGGTGGAAAAGAACTTGGGTAGAAGAGAAAGAGAAATGGCAGAACGATTAAGAGGCTGGAAAGAAGTCAAGGAGGAATCCCGAGTTTCTGGCTTTGGGCAATGGATAGTACCATTCATTAAGAGAGGATGTGCAGCGGGGGCGCTTGGGTGGCTCAGATGGTTAAGCATCTGCCTTCATTTCTGGGTCCTGGGTCCCCAGCTCAGTAGGGAGTCTGCTTCTCCCTCTCCCTCTGCTCCTGCTTGTGCTCTCTCTCTCTCTCTAATGAATAAATATAAAATCTTTTAAAAGAGAGAGGATGTGCAGGAAGAAGGATATATTTGGGCAGGAGGAGAAGAAAATTACGTCCGTTTTGGATGGTGTGGAATTTGAGGCACATCCAAGTAAAGTTGCCCACAGTGCAGGTGGGCATGTGCCTGTGGCTCCCAGAGGAGTGATTTGGCCTGGAGGTCAAGTCACCTGTATACAGATTCTAGCGGAAACCATGTGATTAGGTGAGAGTTCCCAGGAAGAAGGGGTGTAAAGCAAGAAGCAGCCTTTAAGGATCCAGGAAAGAAGAAGGGCCCTGCCCAGGAGCCTAAGAAGTAGGAGGAAGGTGTGCTGGAGCTCAGGGAAGGGAGCTTGAATGAGGAGGAGGTGCCAGTGCCTCTAGAGAACAGGGCACAAGTGGAGAGGACTCGGAGAGTGCAAGTATGCTTCATTCTCAAGAGGGAGCTGGAGCACAAAGGGAAGGAGCGAAAGCTGGGCCACAGAAGGCAGAGCGAGATAAATGTTTCTATAGTTGGCCGAGCCAGTAGCAAAGGAGGTTAACAGTCAAGGTGAGAGAGGATAATTCACAGAAAGAGATTTCTGAGGTGGTGAGAGATCATGAAATAGCAAGCAAAGGACATGTGGAAGGATTATCCAGGAAAGGAGGATGGATAATTTCTTCTGAAATAAGAGGGGAGAAGGGAACAGTGGAGTTAGGTGTAGAGAGAAATGCCAGAGACTGTGCTCAACACGTACACACAGTCTTGTCCTAATCTTCTCAACAACCCTGCCAAACGAGGTATTTTGTATCTCCGTTTTCCTACATAAGAGAGTTAATTGATAGTCAACACAGTAAGTAAATGGTAAGAGGGTAATCCAAGAATGAAATCTTGCCATTTGCAACGACGTGGATGGAACTAGAGGGTATTATGCTAAGCGAAGTAAGTCAGAGCAAGACAAATACCATATGATTTCACTCATATGTGGAATTTAAGAAACAACATGGGGGAAGGGAAGGAAAACTAAAATAAGACAAAAACAGAGGAGACAAACCATAAGAGACTCTTAACTCTAGGGAACAAACAGGGTTGCTGGAGGGGAGGTGGGGGGGATGGGGTAAATGGATGATGGGCATTAAGGAGGGCACATGATGGAATGAGCACTGGGTGTTATATGCAACTGATGAATCACTGACCTCTACCCCTGAAACTAATAATACACTATATGTTAATTTAAAAAAAAAAAAAGTGAGGGTAATCCAAAGTGTTAGGATTTAGGAAGGTTATGTGTCCACCACAGGGCTTGGCCCAAAGAGGGAGGTAAAGGAGTGTTAGCTCCCTCTTTTGTGGATTGCTTCTGTTCTTTAAAAAGGAAAAGGGAAAAAAATGCCAAGAAGGTCGCCCAAGATGTCATTTCGCAAGCAGTTTCTTGTTCAGCCCCTTCGCATAACTGACTGAACTCTGCTGGTAACCGTCTCTGCCCCTGCGTCCACTGGCCCCGTCAGCACAGTTACCTTTATCTTCACGGTGTTTCCAGTGCTTGCTTGCGTCTTTTCCTTCCATCAGGCCAAAGAATGCTTCCTTTTGAAGCCTCCTCCTCCTAGTTCTGAGGACAGTTCATTAGTTGCCCGGTTTCGGGTACAAACATACAGAATCCAGAGCAGGGCATTCCCAGTGCTCCCTCAGGCGGCCTGATAGTGTCAGGTGGACAGGAGTTGGCCATAGCCTTGCGTCCAATTCCCTAATATTTTAAACAGATCTTGGAAAGATTTGTATGATTCTCAAGATGATAACAATTTACAAGGCACATAAATGATACCAAAAACGGTGCTCTACTTTTCTTGACTCTACACAGCCAATAGTTTCTGAAGATCAGACAGCAGCCCTGATGGCCCATCTCTTCGAAATGGGATTCTGTGACCGGCAGCTGAATCTCAGGCTGCTGAAGAAACACAATTACAACATCCTGCAGGTTGTGACAGAGTTGCTACAGGTCAACAACAACGACTGGTACAGCCACCGCTACTGAGGAGGGGCCTCGTATTAAATCACTCTGCCTGCTTCTCCTGGGTGATCTTTATTCTGTCCTTGGGCGTAGGGGAGGAAGCCCTGGCTTATTTTTTAATCTGATGAATCTATATAGAGCCCATTATTGAATTCTCAAGACAGTACCTGCATTACAGTATTTTTTGGAGCAAATCAAAGACCAGAACTGAGGCAGAGACATCGGATGGTTGAATTGTAGGAAAATGGTTTTTCAGTTGATTTGGATAAAGCTCCTGTCTCCATTTTAGTGCATTGAAGAGCATAACTTGAACTACCTATAGAACCGTTTTTCTTTCTGCTTGTATCAAAGTTGAGTATTTTTCTTTGGATGTTGTGGATGTTTCTATGGGGATATCTGTTGTCAGTTTTTAAAAGAAATTAACCTTGGAGGTTGTTTTCAAGAATTCTTACAATTTTTCTAGCCTACCCCAAGCCTCATAGCTATGTTGCATTGAAATGACACCCAGAGCCCCAGAGAAATCTTGTTACTCTTCCTTGTTCAAAGACAAAGTCATTTCCCTGCGAGACTTAGTAATCAGCACTGTTGTTTTCTAAAGACCCCACTGGTACATTCAAGAAGATCACCTTCTGGGTCTCCACACTTCAGTGAAAGGAGGGAGTGTGCTCATTAACCCACCAGCACCTATTGAGCAGTGTTTACTGTAGTAATTTTGCATACATTTTTCTTTATTTAAGGGAACAAATTTAAGTAGATAGTGTGAAATATTTTGCTAATACTGTAGAGATGGAGAAAACGTCTATTAAAAAGAAAAGAAATGTAACGGTTACCTTTTTTTCTTAACGTCAGGGCAGAGGTTACTGGCACATGTTAAGAGTCGAAAAGTGAAAAGTGAAAGGCAGGCTCCTAGTTAATCTAGTAAAGTTAGTTCAGGGGCGGGCAAATAGGAAATGCTGATGCCTTCTTGAATGTTTGAAATCTGCTCAAAGGTACCTAGCCTTAGAGAGCCTAGAACAGGAAGAGGCTGTTTTGCAAAACTTGGATGGGGACAAACTCTGAAAAAGTTTTGAGTTAACCCCAAAATGAATGAGAAAGCTTGCTGCCAGGGGCCCAGGTCCTCACTCTGTTTACAGAAAGGAGTCTTGGGTACAATGGGTGAAGGAAAAGGTAACAAAAAAAAAACACTAAAAGCTATTATTCATGAAAATGACTTCCAGAAAAAGAAGACTTTTGCCCTCATCCAGAAGGGGGAAGGATAGTAAACTAGTATTATTTAACCTGGTTGGTATTTATAATGAATGGTGATGTTAATCATTAGTCGTCATCATGTTTATTTACAGTATACTTCCTGACCGCTATTAAATAAACCAAGATTCAGACTGCAAGCCAACCAGGCTGTTCATTATTTAAAACGTTTTTATCCGGGCTTTTGGGTAGAGGCTGAGCGGCAGGGTGTGTGTAATTAATTGGGTTGATTTCGGGCGGGACCTGTTCTGACCTCCTGAGTCGTATTGTAGGGGTCCAGAGAGGACCCCGAGGTCCAGTCGTCCGTCCGGTTGTTCTTGTACATAACCGCTTCAAGAATGGTGAAATAAAACTTCTTTGAAAGCCCTACCAGGACTGGCTGGTGCTTGCAAAAGCAGCGTCCGGGCCCCGGGGTGGTCTTTGAAGAGTTGAGCTCTTCCCTCGCCGCTGTGTCGAGAGGGGGCGGGCCCCTGGGAGGGGGCGGGTCCGGAGGAGCTGGGGCGGAGCCTCCGTAGTCACCGAGTCAAAGCTTGGGGCGAGCCCCTGGGTTCCCGCACTTTCGATTCTGCTTGCAGCCGGTTCTGTCCTGTCGCTCGGGGGTGGGGTAAGGTGCGTCCCAGATTTTACTTTCTTTCCCTTTGGGAGGCAAGGGTCGAGGGACCTTCAGTGCCTCCTAGCCTCACGCAGGCACTCGCGGGTTAACAGACTCGACTAACGGCCTCGGGGTGTCTGGAGGGACTTGAAATTCTCCTTCAGTGAAATCCCAGCTTCTGCGGCTGCTCGGGCTGCCCCGCTCCTCGGGCCCCTAGCCGAGCCCGGGAGTAAAGGCTGGAAGCAGCTTAGCCCTTCAGGGAGGCCGAGGTCGCTGCTCCCCACCCTCTCTGACGCTGCATATTCGCTCCCCCAGGACTCTGCTGAAGGGGGCCAGTAGCCTGGCCAGCCCCAGCCTGTGGCCCCTCGGGTCACCCTGCCCTACAGGCCCTTCTCCCCAAAGACACATTCCAGAAACCGCACTCTTAGCTGACAGGAGCCCTGGATCCCAGACCTCAACCAGGTGAGGCTCTCTTGATTTTGGCCCAGTGAGGTCTGAGTGCGGTTCACCTTGCCCACTCATTCTGCTCCCAATCCTGAGCCTTTGGGGAAGAATCTGGATTTTTAGCCTTTACCATTCCTTAGTGAAGGATGGACCCTGACCATTGCTCCCACCCTTCCACAGGCATTCTTGCCTACCACACAGAAAGCAGTGAGGAAGAGGTTTCTGCTCCCTTTCAGGGCTATTTTAAGGTTCTTAGGCACACCTGTGACCAGCCTAGCTGCCTTTCCCTTGTTTCAACGAATCCCTGCCTTCCTATTAGGCCAGCACTTGCGAGGGCTCAGGAATGGAAACTTTCCTTCCACTCCCAGGCTGGGAGATCGCAGGCATTTCTGCCTGGGTGTTCTAGACACCTCTTCAGAGTCATCTTGTTGCAGAGGGTGAAGGGACTCTGGACTGCGGCCTCCCCCACTGCCCGCCAGCCCCGTCCACTTCCTTCCCTTGAAGCAAGTGACAGCTCAGCAACTTTCTCAGAAAATAAAGTGCTCGGCCATTCACTTCTGGGGGTCCCTTCTAGGGAAATAACTTCTGCATTTTTCTCTTCCCTCTTGTAGGCAGATTGAGCTCCCCTGCAGTAATGAAAGGAAACGCACTGAGATTTCTGATCCCAGAGTCCCGTGTAACTGCTCAGTTTTCTGTATCCTAGCTTCCTTGGGCTGGAGCTTGCTGAAATTGGGGTGGTGCTCCTTGCAAATCTTGAGAACCCAAAACCAGAGTGACATCCTGTGTCCGTGCTAACAAGCTTAGCCCTGAATTCTGGTTTTTCCTCATTAGCGAAAACTCCCCCTGAATGATGGGTGAGACGTTCTCCCAGTCGGGCTCTCGGGAGGAGGAGAACAAGTCAATCCTGCCCCCCAGCCTGGCATTTGGCAGCAAGGCTGCCTGCTACTCCAGCACCCGAAGCAGCAAGTCTTTTTGTTCCCGCGTGCCTTGTGATGGGGCTGCCAGTGCCAGCTTTGTGACTTGTCCCACCTGCCAGGGCAGCGGGGAGATCCCGCAAGGTGAGTGGCCCAAGGCTTTGGCAAGAGCCTGGAATCCAGAACAAGCCCTTAGCAGCCAGCTGGTCAGGCCCCTCTGAGCCTCCTGGAATGGGGTTGGGTCTCCCAGCTCTTGGTCCCCCAGCTGCAGGCGGGCCAACGAGATGCTCACTTGCCCTGCGCTCGCTGCAGGGACACCCCCACCCCTCCTGCCCTGGTGGTTCTCCCCAGCCCGGCGGGTCTCCAGCCTCCCTGCTCCCTTAGCAGCGCTGTGCCTTAGGATTCAGGAAGTTACAAATGACCTCTCCAGAGAAGCTAGACTTCTCTCATTTACTGGTGCTTTCCGGAAATTCACACCCGTTAATGAAAATCTCACTTCCATTGCAGAGCTGACATAGTTGAGCTGCTGTCATCTGCCCAGCGTTCCCAGTCCTGCTCTGGGGCAGAGGTGGCATGCTTCTGACTCGACTCTGTGGGGCGGAGGGGTGCTTCTGGGAGGCTGGCGCAGGAAACCTTCGCCATGCATACTTGTTAGCCCTCTCTCTTACCTTCTTTCTCTCTACAGAGCTAGAGAAGCAGCTAGTGGCCCTCATCCCCTATGGGGACCAGAGGCTGAAGCCCAGGCGCACGTAAGTCCACAAGCCGTCACCTCTGGGGGCTGTTCTCTTTGTCTCCCCCATTCTGCCTCCCAACCCCCTGCAGTTCTTCTCCATTGGAAGCCTTGCTGAATTCATATATACTAGCTCCATTTCCAGAGTTTTTCCTGGTTTAAGAAGTCTGGGGCACAGCAGATGCCACCTGAGGGCACTCGGTGTCCTGAGCTTCGCTACTTCCGAGAAGCATGGCTCCCTTGTGGAAACAGGATCTCTTGACTCTGCAAGGCCTTTCTGGAGGGAGGGAGTGGCCCTGGGTGCGGTCAGTTTGGGGAAGGTATTTTTCCTGCGAGCATCCCTCTCTGTGGCACCTCAGACCTGCTCGTTCTCTTCCCGGTTGAGGTGGAAAACTAGCTGCTCCCTGTTCTGAGATACTTCAGAGCCTCAGAGGCAGCCCCGAGTTTCCCGGGACGGGGTCGTGACCCTGTTTGTCATCTGGGTCTCTTGGACGTGAATCCCTGCCACCTCCTCCCAAGGTGCTCAGCTGCAGTCTGCGAGCCACCAGCCTGCCCTCCCGGACCCCTGCACCAGAATCTGAGGCTGCCTGTGCCCCTCATAAATACTAACGAGGTGCTGTCTCTTTCATGCCTAGCTCAGTTTTGAGTTAGAGGGACGGATGATGTCCTGTTCTGAATATTAATTTTAAAATTCAGAACCCTCAAATTCATGTGGACATTTCTTCCAGCGATGATAGCTAGCATTCGTTGAGCTTTGGTTATGTGCCAGGAGCTGGCATCCGTGCCTTTTCATGCGTTAGCCCATAACGAATTCTGTGATGTAGGTATAGTTCTCTCCGTTTACAGACAAAGAAACTGAGGCCTAGGGAGCTTAAGTAGGTTGCTTAGAGCTACTGGGCCAGTGGGTACAGAGAGCTGGGAATGGAAGCCAGGCTGCCTGCCTCCCGATCCTGAGCTCCAACTCACTTTGGGCCACATCTGTACCTGGGCCAGTCCCCCACATCTGGGGAGGTAAAAGCACAGTTGGGAGGGGGCTGGTGCAGGGGAGAGCCTTGTACAGGGAGAGGAGTGTCCCTCTCTGCCCAAGGTTCCGTCGTGTTCAGACTTCTCCCCTCCTCTACCCTGGGTCCTGCTTTCTTTCCCACAGGAAGCTCTTCGTGTTCCTGGCAGTGTTCATCTGCCTTGTGACCTCCTCCCTCATCGTCTTTTTCCTGTTTCCCCGGTCCATCGCCGTGCAGCCCGCGGGCCTCAACTCCTCCACGGTGGCCTTTGACGAGGCTGACATCCACCTCAACATAACGGTGGGTGGGTGCCCACACCCTTGAGCCCCACACCGCCTTGCTGGCAGCTCTTCTCTGTAGCCCTTGTCCAGTGTTGCCATCCCGGGCTCGGGTAGCCAGGGGTACTATGGCAGGCCAGAGGGTGTCAAAGCCTGGGGAGAAGCAGGCACAACCGTGAACCCCACAGGAGATTGTTCAGGATTAGGACTGTACGCAGCGAGGGGTCAGAATCTGGACGAGAGAAATAAAACACAGGGCGTGGTTGGGGGGCATGCCTGAGACTCCCTGGGTGGGCGGAACTGAACAGAGAGAAGCCTCGCAGAATGAGCCTGGGTCCTGGGCCAACTTCATGTCTTACGGTGACCCCTTTGCCATTAAGAGCCCCTCCAAGGGGCTCCTGGCGCTGGGCTTCGGCAGCTGAGGCCCATAGTGGGAGTGGGGATCAGTCAGGCAGGGGGCTGGAGGGGGGTTTGGGAAGCTATTGGACTTCTCCTTTTCAAGGATGGTCATCTTCCCACTTCCCTTTCCCTTGTCTTCATCCTTAGAATATCTTAAACATCTCCAATAGCAATTACTACCCCATCACTGTGACCCAGCTGACCATCGAGGTTCTGCACCTGTCCCTCGTGGTGGGGCAGGTCACCAACAGCCTCCTCTTTCACATCGGCCCCTTGGCCAGCGAACAGGTGACTCCCTCTCCCTGGCCAGCCCTGCCCACAGAGGTGTGGACATGTGTGGGGGTCGGAAGGGGCAGCTGGGGTTGGGGCTCACCGTGTGCCCATTTGGTTGACAGATGTTTTATGCAGTGGCCAACAAAATCTGGGATGAAAATACCTAGTAAGTATCCCTTGATCTCTTCTCCCTTAGCTTCTTTCCCTGGTTGGAAACCCAGTGTTCATCCCTACCAGATTTCCTGGCTGCTTAGCAAACACTACAGCCAGCATTTGGCCTTCATTCTCGTGGCCAAGACTGCAATCTGCAAGGGATTCAGGGTCCCCAGCCCTCTGCCTGTTTGGACTTAGGTTGGAACGAAAAAAGGCCAGAATTGGGTTAATTCTTACACTCTGTGACCTTGGGCTCTTCAGCCTGAGTCGCTGAGAAAGATGAATGTCTTGTTTTCGGTTGAGGGAGGGGCTAGCATACAGCTGGGCCAAGCCTGTGGGGCTTGGAGGAACAATATTGCAGCAAGGGTGGCATGCTCACCTTAGAGGGAGAGAGAAAGAGTGGGAGTGGCGTTTGGTGTCCCTGATGGGAAAGAGCCCAGAAGCCTGGGACCTGCAGGTCTCCTCCCAGTTGCCATGCTGCTCAGTGTGAAACATGGTCCCGTGTTCTTTCTCTCTCAGCAAAATCTGTTCCTGGATGAAAATCAAAGTCCACCATGTGCTTTTGCACATCCAGTAAGTAGGGCTTGGAGCCCGGGTGCCCCCCCTCGCCCACTTCTGACCTGGGGCTCTCCTCTGCTCCACCTTGTGGGAGGAATCATCCAAAGCTAACTCCGTGGATCTTTGTTGGCTCTTGGGAAAGCAGGTCCGGCCCCTTCCCTAGATCCTGCCTTGCTTATGAGCCATCGGTGGGACAGCCACAGACAGAGCTGTCTGGATCACAGGTGGGACAGCTGTCCCAGGTGCACTGGCAGAGTAGGGAGCAGAAGGAAGAGCGTGCAGTGTTTAAGGGACCCCCCCCTCCCCAGACAGCAGAGCAGGGCCAAAGCTTTCCTCTTTGCCCCCAGACACAGCAACAAAGCCTGCTTCCTCTCCAGGGGCACCCTGACCTGTTCCTGCCTGAGCCATTCAGAGCAGCTAGTCTTCCAGAGCTATGAATACGTGGACTGCCGGGGAAACACATCGGTGCCCCACTTGCTGGTCCCTCACCCGCCGTGACCTGTCCGCTGTTCCCGAACCCCAGGCCCCCGCCAGGTTGGGCTCTGTCTCCCTGAGCCCAAGGAAGGACTACAGTGACTTTGCCAAAGGAAAAGCCCTGCTTTATTCTACCTCCTCCCCACCACACACACACCCTCAGCATAGGAAGCCCTATGTGAAAGTTAACTTTACACACACACATGCACGCACACACACCTCTCACGTCCTCTGACTTCCACAGGAAAAGAAGTCTGGTTCTTCTAGGGCCCAGCGCCAGGCTTTCCCCTCGGTCTGTCCTGAGGAAAGTCTGACCTGATGTGTATTCAGAGCTGCCTTAGAGTCCCTGGAGTGGCATCTGCTTTCTGTACTGAGCACCGTGGTTGCCTAGCCCCTCTGGGGCTGGCCTTCCTCCCGCCTGAAGAGAGAAATCTTTTATCTGGCTTTTAAAACCTGGATCTTTTTCACGTTCTCCACCCAGTGGTGGGAAAGTGACTTGAGGGACGTCCATGCTGTCTCGTGCCTTCCTGCTTGGTCATGTGACAGAGTGGTGGCGCTGGTCGGCTTCTCTCCTGGTAACTTGGGCCCTGACAGCGAGGTTGGCTAAGGCCCTTTGGCTCGGCAGCCTCCCTGGTTAAAGACTGTCCCAGTTCCTAGGAAGACAGAGCTGTTCTCTGGCTAAAGCTTCTCTCCATAAAGATTGTTTTCTTAGTCTCATCACAGCAGGAGTGAATGTAGTAGCGGGGGAGAGAGGCATCTGGCACCCCCTCCGCCTCTCCAGGAAAAACAGAGATGAAGCCAGAGTCATTCGGGAAGGTATTTATTGAAGTTAGGCTTCTGGCTGGTGGTCGGCCCACAATGCTGAGCCCGTGTGAGTGGACAAAGGTCGGTCAGACGGCGGTGTCAGCTGCCGCCCGGTGACGGCCTACAGAGGTGAAGCTGTCAGGATTCGGCCAAGCTGCTGGCACTCCAGCATCCCCAGCATAGCTCCAGGGCCCATCCTCTGCTCCCAGAGGCCTCTGCTTTCCTTCGGGCATGCACAGGCTGGAACCGCACATTAGTAGGGACCGGCCTCGACCTCTCCTCTTTGCTGTCACTCAGATGCAGAAGCGAAGTCCTAGATAATGCAGGTTCCCACTGGGCTCCAGATGGAGGCGGTCTGTGGTGTCGCTGAGCAGGAATGGTAATTGCTCACTAAAGGGAGCTGTGGTTTTTCTCAGGCCGGGAGGTGAACTTAGGTGGTGGGGCAAGCTGAATGCGAAGTTGGATGGATGGAGAGGGGGCAGTGGGGACAGCACCTGGCTAGCTGGCTGGGGGGACAAGGGGAAAGAAGGAGGTTGTCCTGTCTCTGTGCTTTCGTGCCTGAGTAATTGGGAGTCAAGAAGATACTAGCAGGAGCACAGAAGTCCAGAAAGGCCAGGCTGGAGTTTCCGCTGTGTGTTGGTTGCCAAATGTCAAGGATTTATATCGTCTTCAATAAACTATACTTCACAATGTTAAAGAGTAAACAAAGAGTCTCCTGTGAGTTGGGAGGAGAGCTGGACGACACTCCCGGCCTGTTTCTGGTGGCCGAGTGGGTGCCAAGCTCTCTTCCCCAGGCGCAGAGCCCCTCTGCTCTTCTGGTTGCTGAGAGAGCGCTCCTGGGAGCTTACTCTCTCCCTTCCTCCCACTGTGTGTCTCTCAAGTTCCCTCCCTACTTTAATATTCCTGTTCTGGGCCCCACCCCAGGTCCCCCGGCTACCCCCCTCAGGAAACACTGCCCTGAGGGGTCCCTTCAGCCTGTGGGCTTCCGTGAAAGGCCCAGGCATCCCCTCACTGGCGCCAGGTGGAAAAGGGGACAGGCTGTGGGAGGGACCCCGGGTGTCAGCTTCAGGAAGTGGTGAGGGGGTGAAGCCTGACTCCGGGAAAGGCTGAGGTGGGGGAAGGAAGAGGCCTGTGGGGTTCTGTGGGCCAGTACCCCTCCCCTTCCCAAGATCAGGTGTCCTGTACTTGAGGTTACAGCCCCCCTTTCCTCTGAGCTCTTTCCACCCCTGCCTCCCATCATCCATGCCACAGCTCAGCGCCCACTATGGGCCAGGCATTACACTGGACCTGGGGGGGCCCCCGCCTGCCACCTCTAATGCTGCTCCAGGCCTGTTCCGGTGTGGTGCGACCTCTCCTTCCCCAGTTGTGTCTCAGTAAGCACCAGCCAGTGGGGAGGGGTCCTGGCTCCAGTGAGAGTCCTCAACCTAGAGCCCCCAACAGGGGTGTCTGGGGGGCTCAGTCGGTTAAGCATCCACCTTGATTCTTTTTTTTTTTTTATTTGACAGAGACATAGCGAGAGAGGGAACACAAGCAGGGGGAGTGAGAGGGAGAAGCAGGCTTCCCATGGAACAGGGAGCCCGATGCGGGGCTTGATCCCAGGACGCTGGGATCATGACCTGAGCCGAAGGCAGACGCTTAAAGACTGAGCCACCCAGGCGCCCCCCACCTTGACTCTTGATTTCGGCTCGGGTCATGATGTCAGGGTTGCAGGATGGAGCCCTATGTCCGGCCCTGTGCTCAGCAAGAAGTCTGCTTGTCCCTCTCCCTCTGCTCCTCCCCTCACTTGCTCAAGCACACACATGGGCTTGTGTGCTCTCTCTCAAATAAATAAAATCTTTGAAGCCCCCAACAGACCTATCCTTGCTAAATAAGGGCCAGCAATGGGGCTATATAGACTTGGGAAGGCCAAGACCAAGTTCTCCCATTGGCTTTGCCTCCAGAAGTCCAGAAAGGCCAGGCTGGAGTTTCCGCTGTGTGTTGGCTCAGCCTACTTTCTTCTCCCACCCACTCCATCTCCTTCATGGGTCCTCATTCCCCTTTCCCTTCATCCCAGTCTCACAGAGCTGACCAGTCTCTTGATTCTTTTTAGGAGGAAATCACATTTTATTCCCGGCTAGCTCCTCTTCTCGAGGGGATCAGGAGGGGGTGACTTGGAGTGGAGATGCTGGGGGTGAGAAAGAAGTCATCTGTTTTTTTGCTGATGGCCATTGGGGTTGAGGGTCTCTCTCTGGGTCACCACTGCTGTGTGTAATTCATTGACTGAGAAGAGGGAGAGACAGGAGGCAAACTGGGTTAGTTAGCCATTTCTGGGCCTGCTGTTCCAGAACGTTGTATCAAGCCCTTTGAGGCCAAAGAAATAAAAGTAAAATGGATCGGCCCAGTCCTCATCCTAACAGGGCTGGCATCAGGCTCTCTCATCCTTTGCACCTGAGCCAGAGAAACCTCCTTTCCAAAGCTTGTACTGTGTTACGTCCTTCTCATCAAGAGTGACCACCCTGGGTTTGAAGGCCTGGATTGAGCCAGGTCCTAAGCTAAGGGCTTGTGACGCCTTCTCTTTCAATGGCCACATTCAGTGGTCCGACACCTCTGTTAAGGAGGTGGTATTAGCACTCTCATCTTATGGATGGGGCAGATGAGGCTCAGAGATGCAGTCACGCTGCTGGGGACTGGCGATCCCGAGACTCACAGCCTGTGACTTCATGTCTTGCCCTCCTCCGGCTCCAGCTGCCTCCGCCCCAATCAGCACTTAAAACAGCCCCTCTGGGGGCGCCTGGGTGGCTCAGTTGGTTAAGCGACTGCCTTCGGCTCAGGTCACGATCCTGGAGTCCCAGGATCGAGTCCCTCATCGGGCTCCCTGCTCGGCAGGGAGTCTGCTTCTCCCTCTGACCCTCCCCCCTCTCATGTGCTCTCTCTCTCCTCTCATCCTCTCTCTCAAATAAATAAATAAAATCTTTAAAAAAAACAAAAAACAGCCCCTCTGTTTTGCTTCTCTGGCACCTGGCCCGTCTTTTTGAATAGACTGTCAACCCCTCCGTTTCTGCTGAGTGCCAAGCAACAGGCCACAAATGGGCCATTCAGCAGTGACTATATAATTGCATATAAAGGCTTTATGTAATTGACTTTATAAAATATAAATAATTGCAGCCCCTCCCGCCAAGGAAGCCTCTCTAGATTCCACACACAAACACACACACGCAGCCAGAGTCGACCTGCCTTTCACACTGTCTCACCGTGAATCGTGAGTGCTCGGTGTATTTATCTGGATTTGACTGGAATGAGTTCCTGAAACCTGATGGTGAAACAAGCATACATTATTCATCTGACAGTTTCTGAAAATGGAACACGGCAGAGCTGGACTCTCTACTGTGTGTCTGGGGGGCAGGCGGCAGCCCCTATCTAGGGCAAGGCACAGACAGAGCCCACCCGGAAAACTCATACCCGGGAAGCTGCACCGTGATTCCTGTTCCAGACTTCCCAGGGCTCAGCTCGTCTCTTGTTAAGCCCACCCTCACTCCCTCTGACACCCTCGTCCCGGAGGAGGGGCTGCCACCCTCTGCAAAAGTCAGCAGCCTCCTTTGCACCCCCAGAGTGATGCAAACATCCCCGGGGGGGGGGTGTGGCCCCCAAGTAAAGGCCAAGGATGCCTGGGAGAGTACAAGACAATGGGAGGACGGAGGTGCATTCTGGACTATAGGGCTGGGGGTGGGAGCAGGGAGCTCTCTCCTTACCACCTGCCCTCCCAGGCATCTCACTTACTAGGGCCTTGAGGGGGTTTTGTTCCTCCTGGGAATCCGTTAAAGTCGGATTGCCCTCCAGTTTGATGGATCCCTACTGAGCCAAGCTGGGGACCTGGCTTTTGGGAATCCTGCAGAATGTGCACAGACGTGCACTGAGCCAGAGGGTCATGGGCGTTCTGTTGCCTTGACTGAGGCGGCGGCGCGGGTGGGGTCTGTGACTGCTCCGGGAGCTGCGGTCGGGGAGGCTGCGGTGGGGCGGGGGGCACCTGCGGCTCTGGTGACGCTCCTGGTGGCCTCGGCAGCAGTGACAACTGCTGCTCCTGTTGAGACCCCCGAGGGGGCTGGGGTCTTTTCTCGGATTGGCCTTCCTCCTCTTGGAGTTTCTTCAGTTCCTGGCAAGAAGCCCCCCACAAGTGGCATCCTCCTCCCTCCCCACCCCGTCGCCCATCTGCTGGGGACACTGCGGGGAGCAAGGCAAGCCATCAGAGGAGAGGCAGAGGTGGCCGGAAGGTCTCTGTTCCCTAGACATGGAGGCTGGGCTCCCTTCACCCACCGCAACACCCGAGAACTGTCTTTGGTGACAGTGCCCCCCTGGCACAGCCCCGGCCCAGGAAACAGCAGTGTCCGGGCACCTGCCTCCTACCTTGGGAGCTGTGCACTGAAAACAGTTTGCAGTGGGGGAAGAATAAAGAATACTTTCTTGCAAACCCTGGGAGATAGCACTGTCCAATAGAAATACAATGCATGCAACCAGTAATTTTAAAATCTTCTAGTAGCCACATAAAAAAGCAAGAAGGAAACAGGTGAAACCGGGGCGCCTGGGTGGCTCAGTCATTAAGCGTCTGCCTTCGGCGCAGGTCATGATCCCAGGACCCGGGGATCGAGCCCCGCATCGGGATCCCTGCTCGTCAGGAAGCCTGCTTCTCCCTCTCCCACTCCCCCTGCTTGTGTTCCCTCTCTCGCTGTGTCTCTCTCTGTCAAGTAAATAAATAAAATATTTTTAAAAATAAATAAAGTAACACTATAAAAAAAACAGGTGAAACTAATTTAATATATTTTGGTTAACCCAATACCTCCAAAACCTGTAATCAATATAAAAAATATTAATGAGATAGTTTATATTCTCTGTTTTTGTACTAAGTGCAAAACACAGCATTTATTTTACATTTAACAGCACATCTTAATTTGGATACTACATTTTGATCAAAAATGATTGCCTTAGATTTAGATTTTATAAAATTTACAGTTGAAAAAGATTTACATATCCAGGTTGTTCTAAACATACTTCAAAGTTTTCCAATACATAAAAAGTATTTGTTTTTAAATGCAGATTTAAATTAATTAAATGTATATGAGATTTTAAATTCAGTTCCTCAGTCTCACTAGCCACATTTCAAGGGCTCAGCAGCACACAGGCTGGTGGCCACCCTATTGGACGGTGCAGCTTTAAAATCTCTCAGGCCAGGGCTGCTGGGTGGCTCAGTCGTTAAGCGTCTGCCTTGGGCTCAGGTCATGATCCCAGGGTCCTGGGATCGAGCCCCACATCAGGCTCCCCGCTGGGTGGAGAGCCTGCTTCTTCCTCTCCCTCTGCTTGCCACTCCCCCTGCTTGTGCTCTCTCTCTCTCTCTCTCTCTCTCTGTGTCAAATAAATAAAATCTTTAAAAATAAAAATATAAATAAATAAATAAAATCTCTCAGGCCTGACCCTCCCTTGATCCCCCACTAGGCCTCAGCCTAGTACAACAGCAAAGTTGAGTTACCCTAACACACACACGCACGCACACAGAGTCCATCCAAGAGACTATCAAAGGAACCTTACTTTCTTCCCACCCCCAGCAAAAAACATTGGCCAGATAATAGCTTCCTAGGGATCTGTCTCCCCTCCGCATTCCCTTCCGGCCCCCTGGAAGGACCCCGATGAGCCTGGACCTTCTCATGCACCTGCTCCTGCTGTTGCTGCTGTTTGGCCATCAGCCACCTCCTCCGGTCCAAAGCCATCTGCCTGCGCCGGGCCTCCCAGTGGTAAGCACTGCCCATGATGGTGGGGGTGACAGAAGGCCTCAGAAGGGGGTGGGGGCAGGCAGGGCCCAGGATGCTGCCCCCACCGCCTCTGTTTCCTCTCACCCCCACCCCACTGCCTGTAACCAGAACCACCTCACAATGGGAGGAGGGAGGACGTCTTCCTAAGTTGCCTAGGGAATGCCTGAAAACTACATTTCTCTCCAAGGCCCTGTGAAGGTAAAAGACACCTTTCCACCTTAGCTTTGGGTTTCCATGGGCCCCAGGGACAATTTCCAAGTCAGCTGGCTCTTCTCTCTGGTTTCTTTCTCCCACCCTTCCCAGGATTCCAGCATCCTCATCTGGCCCTCTGCAGACCCCCATCTGCCACCACCAAAGTTCTCTGGAGTTACCTTTCCCTCAGTCCTCCATCTCCTCCTGCTATACTGAGTCAAGAGGAAAGAAAATAGGGGCGCTTGGGGCGCCTGGGTGGCTCAGTTGGTTAAGCGACTGCCTTCGGCTCAGGTCATGATCCTGGAGTCCCGGGATCGAGTCCCGCATCGGGCTCCCTGCTCGGCAGGGAGTCTGCTTCTCCCTCTGACCCTCCTCCCTCTCATGCTCTCTGTCTCTCATTCTCTGTCTTAAATAAATAAATAAAATCTTTAAAAAAAAAAAAAAATAGGGGCGCTTGGTGGCTCAGTCGTTAAGCATCTGCCTTCGGCTCGGGTTGTGATCTCAGAGTCCTGGGATTGAGCCCCGCATCGGGCTCCCTGCTCAGTGGGAGCCTGCTTCTCCCTCTCCCATTCCCCCTGCTTGCGTTCCCTCTCTCACTGTGTCTCTCTCTGTCAAGTGAATAAATAAAATCTTAAAAAAAAGAGGAAAGAAAATATAAAATCCAATGAACCCTCACTGGGGTGTGAGCCTCTGTGAAGACGGGGTGGCTAATTTGCCTGGGGATTCACAATGCTGGGCTCAAGCCTAGGGTCTACCTCTTCCTCTAACCTTGGAGACCCTACATAACCTCTCTGGGCCTCAGTCTCCTTGCCTGTAGAATGGGAAGGGTATTACTTGTTATCTCCTCCACAGGACTGGCATCAGGACCAAGTGGATTAATGGATGAGAAATGTACAAGACAAAGCAGAAAATTATCCAGCTGCAGGTTGATATTTTTTATTCTCCTACCTGATTTTCATCCCAGGTAGGTGGAATGGCCAGGGGAGGGGATCATTTCCTGCAACCCAGGAAGGCTTCTGGGGGCAGGGACTGGGTGGGCTATTGACTGCTAGGCTCCCTCCTACACCCACATGCCCTTACCCACAGATAACAATCTTTCTAGAAGCAGCAGAGCCTGAGTCCAGCTTCAGGTGTGGGGGCAGGGAAAGGGCATGGGTGAAAAAGGTCTTCAAAGCCAGTCCCAGCTTCAAACACTGTGCTGGTGGAAAGCAGGGTGCCGTGGGAAGGTGACAGTGGAGAGCAGCCCTTGTGCCAGAGGACACAAGGAGACAGGTTCCTGGAGAACCTGTCAATCTGGTCAGCTGCTTTAGTGGACGGAGCCCGGGCTGTGGAGTCCAACACACTCGGGCTGAATCACGCTCTTGCCACCATTAGCTGGTGGTCCTTAGGTAGGTCACTCAGTGTCTCCAAGCCCCTTCCGGTGACACTGTTTGTGTAGAGGCCGCTTTTAAGCAACAGGCTTGAGCAATGGAATGTAGAAAGGGCCGGTGGCCAGCCACCACCAAAGTGAATACCGACAGGCTCCTTGGGCAACCCACCTCAAACTATCCATAGGCCCTACCTAACCGATCAGGCACAGTTACCAAAAAATGGAAAATTCCATATGTCCCCATACCTCCTCACCTTCCCTCTTTAAATACAGCCCCACCCACTACCTCGTGGCAGACCAGACCGGCTCTCTCCTGCTCTCCTGCCCACAGCTCCCTGGCAGTATGTTCAATCTCTTCTATCTCCTTTGTTCTGCCTGAGGTGAATCCTATCACTGCCCATGCCATCAGCCCCCACCCGATGGGGACGCCCCACAGTTAGGTGCCCCCATCTGATCGAAAGGGAGAGAAACCACATTTTGGAAGACCCCATGGGATGCTTGGAAAATGCCTGCCCTCACAGTGAGCGTGAGCCAATCCTCATGCCAGAGGAGGGATTTTCAAGGTGAATCGTGCCCTCCCCGTCTCTTGCTCACACTGCCTCTCCCAACCCCCACCTCAGAATCTTTGTTGTGGAAGGAACAACAGTATATTTAGAAGCACGGGCCAGGTAAGCCCTGTGAAATACCAGCTGTATTATTTATTACATGTACAAATGTGGCCTAGTCACTCTCTCTCTGATCAGTTTCCTCACCTGCAAAGTAGAGATAATAATACCTCTATTCAGGAGGTGTTGTGATAATTAAAGGAAGTAATCCATGTCAGGCACAGGATTCAATAAATAGAAGCTTTTACATCCCAATAAACCC